GTTTGTTTTCTGGGTCTTCTATTCTATTTTGTTGGTCTATAGGCCTGTTTTTATATCAGTAACATGCTAGTTTTGTTACTCTGTATTTGTAGCATGTTTTGAAATCAGATATTGTGATGCCTCCAGCATTGTTCATTTTGCTCAGGATTACTTTGGCTATCGTGATCTATATTTTGTGTCTCTCTATGAATTTTAGTATTGTTTTTCGTAGCCCTATGAAAAATGTTATTAATATTTTAAGAGGAATTCTATTGAACTTACCAGTCTTTGAAGAAGGGAGAACTTTCCATCTTCTAATGTCGTCTTTAATTTCATTCTTCAATGTTTTTTAATCATCACTGTACATGTCCTTCACCTTTTAGTTAGGTTTATTATTCATTTTTTAAAGCTATTGTGAGTGGAACAGTTTTCTTGATTTCTTTCTTGGAGGGTTCATTTCTTGAAGCAAAGTTGTTTATTGATTTTTTATGTTAATTTGATATCTTGTCACTTTTTTGAACTTGTTTATCAACTCTAAAAGTCTTTTGTTGGAGTTATTAGGGTCTTCTAAATAAAGCATCATGTTATTTTCAGATAAAGATAACTTAAATTCTTCATTTACTATTATTTTTATTCTTTTCATTTTTTTCTCTTGCCTAATTTATCTCATTAAAATATCAAGTACTATATTGAACAGGGGTGGTAAAGGTAGAAAGCCTTGTTTTTTTCCTGATTTTAGTATGATATTGGTTAGCATTTGCCATTTATACTTTTTATTTTATTGAGGAACAATCCTCATATAGATAGTTTATTTTTGTCATGAAAGGATGATGAAGTTTGTTGAAGGCTTTTTCTGCATTTAATTAGATGACGACATGACTTTTGTCTGTACTTTTTTATGCGGCATATTGCACTTCTTGTTTTGGAAAGGCTTTTTAAACCACATGGTCTGGTATATTTGCAACAGCAACCCAACCTCTCTAGTGTCAATTCTCTGTATTAGTCACTTTTTCCCCTGTTGGGACAAAATAACCAACACTCACAGATCAAAGGAAAAGAGGTTTAATTTGGCTCATGTTTTAAGGTGATCTAGTCCATGGTAGGCTGGCTCCAATTCAGAAACATCACAGGGGTAGGTGTGGTACAGAAAAGATGCTCATTTTATGGTGACAGGGAAGCGGAGCAGGGAATAGTCCCAGAGAAGGAGCTAGAGACCAGATATAGACTCCAATATCATGCCTTTTTGACCCACCCAGACAAACCCAGAAGTATGCCCCACCAATATCTTGGGTGGATCCCAAAGCCAATCAGAATGACACTCTACGTGAACCAGTACATCCTCCAATTGTAGCTTGAAAAACTCAAACCTGGGAAGAAACTGGAGCTGTACTGACTAGCGAGGTCTCCATCTTCCTGCATGCACTGGGGCATGTGAGGTAAAACTTTCAAACTATTTTCTGGATTAGATACTACTATCTGTATTGGTTAGCACTGATGGGGAAAAAGTACTTGACCCTTACAACTTATAAACAGAAAGGTTTACTTGGCTTATAGTTTCAGGGTTTCAGCCCATGGTTGTCTAGTTCCATTGCTCTGGGTCTGAGATAAGGCAGAACAACATGGCAGAAGACAGTGATGTAGCAAAGTACTCACTGCATGAAATCCAGGAAACAGAGAGCAGGGGTAAAGCACCCGAGAGGAAGATGACCTATATGGTCCCCAAAGTCTTACCCAAAGATGTGCTTTACTAATTCCTTTGGCATTTCTAAAACAACCAGACTGAAAGACAAGATTAACCATCACACTAAGTGTAAAACTCTTTTGAAATATATTTTCCAGCCCAGGTATAGTGCACATATGGACCTGCAATTCCAGCTACAGAGGAGGTGATGTAAAAGAATGGCAGACTTGAGAACTGTCTTGGCAGCACAGTGAGAACCTGACTCACATCAGTGGAAAGTGTGAAATAAAGCTTGAAAGCTGAAAATGCTCAATTAAATAAAATAGGATGGGGTGGACAAATGGTTTATGGTAATTTTGCAGATAAAGATCCAAATAGAGATGAGAATCATATGTGATATGTAGGAGATAGTAAACTTACATGACTGAATGAAGTGTTCATCAGAAACATCAGAAATAACTGGTTATGGGCCAGGGATTTAGCTCCATGGCACCACGCCTGCCTCTCAAGCACAAGATCCTGAGTTCTAGCCCCTGTAGAAAAAAAAAAAAAAAAAAAAAAAAAAAAAAAGGTTGGCTAGAAAGGGGTATGTTCAAAAGAAAGGCAGTTTTTAACTTTTTTTTTCATGTTTGAGACAGGGTCTCTGTGTTTTTGTTTTGTTTTGGTTTTTGTACCAGGGATTGAACTTACAACTTTGCACTTGTCAGGCTGGCATGGTGCCACTGAGCTAAATCTCTGGCCAGGATTTCTATATGTAATTTAGGCTGGCCTTGAACTCACTATGTAGCCTAGGCTAGCCTCAAACTGATGTCAATCCTCCTGTCTCAGGCCCCCAAGTGCTGGGACTACAGACACATACCACTGTGCCCTGCAAGAAAGGTAAATATAGAAGAGTTTGTACTCTTAAAAGAATTGGTAGGTATCCACTGAAATTTTTTTCAACATTGGTTATTGTGAAAATCATACTACAGAAACATTAATAATTTTAGTTAGGACAAATATGAGGAAAAAAGAAAATAATGAAGGCAAAACAAGTAAGGAGGTTTTTACATAATCTAGATAGGAAGAGAAAGGAATAGTTCAATATAAAAGAGATATCAAAAAATATATATAGCTCCAGGACCGGGTATGTAGCTCAGTGGTGCTGCCACCTGCCTCACAAGCACAAAGTCCTGAGTTTGATACCTGCTACCAAAAATAAATAAATAAATAAATACATTAATTAATAAAATAGCCTCAGTTGATGCTAAGTTACTTAAAGAGAATAGGAGAGATAAAATTCAATGATGGTTTCCATACTGAAAGAGTAGAATATATTGTTTGGTTTGAATGTTGCTAGTGCTTAAATGTGAGGTAAGAACAAGTTGAAGTCCTATCTTTGCTACTAATCAAGTTTGGGATTTCTTCAAGCAATTAATCAATTTGTTGAATTAAACAAAATCAGTTTTCCCATATGTGAAATGAGATAAATGCTTAGATGAACGGTGAAGACTTGAAAAATCTCTGCCTTCATGAATTCCCATTTAGCTGTGTGAAATTAGCACACATACTAAACATTATAGTGCTAAGCCAGACTTAAAAAACACAGTGTCTGTAGCCATTTGATACTTCTGTTTGATTTATTTTGTGCCATTTTCCATGGGCCAAGTCGTACTGTTGTGTGTTGTTACTATATTATGACTAATATTCTGTCCAATCAAGGAACAAAATTAAATTTAATTTTAATATACTGTTCCTTTCTAACTCTTCAGATTACTTGTCAATTCAAATAAATTTATAATACTGGTTCAAAGATGGGCATGAAGGTAAAATTTATTCCTACAACATATTAAATCCAAAGCAATGAGAATAAAAACATCACCAGAAATAACAGTAATTAACATTTAAATATATTGGAAAGCAATTCACATACATTATATTATTTAATATTCAGAACACACTTAAAAAAGGTCAGTACTAATTTTACTCTATTGTTATAGTTGATAAAATTGACATTTAACAAATTATAATTTTCTTTCTTCATAAAGTACTTAGTAGTGCTGTTGAAACTATGTTTTGAGCTTTCCTAATCCAAAATCCATTTCTTTAACTCCTATATCTTATTTTAAGGGAATTAAAATAAATTGTGAGTCCTTCAAAAGATGAAAGGGACTTTTTTCATAGATTAAGTGAAACTCAAGAAATAGGTTAGACAATAGGTTCACTTCATTTTACCCACCAAATACTATGTCATTAGGGTATAATACTTTAGAACTCATATTTAATAATAAAAAGTAGAGATATCATTCAGAATTCCAACTTCAATTTTAGCATAATAGAGTAAGAAAAAGGAAATTCCTTGTTTATTTGATGACTTACTTAATTTTCTTGCTGCTGAAAGAAAATATCCAACATCCGCAAGCTAAGGGAGGAAAGGTTTATCTAGCTCACAGTCTATGAGATTTTAGTCCATAAATGGATGGTTTCATGGCAAGGTGACATTGCAGAGAAGAATCAAAGTGTTGAATGGTTCATAGCAGGCAGAAGATAGCAAAGCAACAGGAATAACCACAGCTCTCCTTATCCCTTATAGCTTATCCTGGCTTCTTCGGGCAGGTAGCACTTGCCCCCTTATTCTTAGTGCCCTTAATCCTAGCATTCCACCATGAATCAATCCTAGTGTCACACATTCTAGATCAAGCCACCTCTGTAAAATCCCATGTATGACTGCATGAGGATTTAGGGGAACATCTTGATTCATAACATTCTGTCCTTCATCCTCCAAAGACTCATGCATATCCCTTTATGCAAAAGGCATTTAGTCCATCTCTAAGAGTTGCAAAAGTCCTAACAGTTTTAGCATTGCTGAAAAGTCCAAGTCCAAAGTCTCCTCTGAGATTTCAGGCAAACCCTTACCTGCAAGCCCTTGTATAAATGAAAAGAGTGCTAAACACTTCCAACATTCAGTGGCACAAGATAGACATTTCTATTCCAAAAGTTACAGTGAGGTATAGCTGTAACGTAAAAAGAGCTGAAAGCCAGGACCATAACAAGCCTTTATTATGGGGAGGGTCTGTGGGTCTGTCTCCAAACAAAGGAGTGAAACCAACATGGCAGAACAGGGAGCTTCGTTTTTAGGAAAGGGGTGAGGTAAGCCTGAGCTGGGGTGGCATTGAGTGAGGTAGTATTAAGGTATTGGAGGAGCCTGTGGTGTCACTAGGAGGGGCTTGTGACATCACTAGTTTCTAGGAGATAGCAAGTATCAGGTTACCTTTCTTGGTAGTAAGAGGGGAATATTGGCAAGAAGAAGACTGTCCTTTGGTGGGAGAAGACATATTTTAACATGGCATTATGGGAAGGAGGCTGCCGTTCCATGTGGCAGCCATCTTAAGGTGCAGAGCAATAGGGGAAGGAGGAGGCTGCTATTTGATGTAGCAGTCATTTTAAGGTAAGGAAAATCTAACAATAGCAAGGAATGGGACAAAGCAAGTCCAAAATCCAGCAAGGCAAGCATTAAATCTCACAGTTCTATCTTTAGCATCCCTGGTAATCTGTTGCAAGTTGTAAACTACAAAGAACTTGGGTTGCTCCACCTCTATGGCTCTGCAGATGGTTGTAGTTCTCACAGCATTTCTCATGGGCTGTTTTCTGATGCATCCTTACAATTTTCCTCAGATGATCCATGATCCTGGGTTTTTCAAACTTCTGGGATCTCCACTGTACCTTTGGCTCCACACTCACAACTTCACACACTGCTCTTCCAGGGGCGCACTGCCTGCCTTCCCAGTCCTTCTTCTGAAATCTGGGTGGAAGCCTTCCTCACCCCACAACTCTAGTATGTGCCTATAATCAGTGCTATTTGGGTCACTCCAAGGTCTACTGCCAGCTGGAACTATATTCAGGTTTTTCTTTCTTTCTTTCCTTCTTTCTTTCTTTCTCTTTTTCTATTTATTTATTTATTTATTTATTTATTTATTTATTTATTTATTTATTTATTTATTTGTTGGCTGTAGGAGTCCAGTACTTATAAACCAAAATCCCAAGGAACAACTTTCCTAGGCTACTACCATGCTGAAACATTGTACTCTGGGACTCTCTTCTAAAAGCAAATTCACTTTTGCAATTTTGAGGCTGCAAAGGGTGGAGTCCTTCAGGCCATCTTTTCTAATGTTCTATTCCAGCTCAGCAATCAAGATCTCTGCTCTATTTTGCAGTCCACAGTTCTACTGGAGCTTCCTTTATGGCCGAACTCAAAACTTGTTAAATCACTCTGCTGGGCTCCTTGCTCTTGATTCTCAAGATAAATCTGGCTAAAAGCCCCCAAAAGCAGCCCTGCCACTGCCTCAACATTAGACTGCCTTGAAACTCCTTATGCAAGATTAATCAGTCTACCACATTTAATCTCAATCTCAAGCAATGTTTCTGGACAGGATAAAAATGTAGACAAACTTTCTGCCAACCCATAACACTCCTCATCAAGAGTCCAACAGCCAATGCAGACTTTCTTCCCAGCAGAAACCTCTCAAGCCTGGTCCTTACCAGCATAATTTCTTTCAACATTTTGGTCTTTTGAGCTCTTACCAGAATCTCTCATTAAGTACAGCCTAAGGCATTCCAGCTTTACTTTTTTCAGCCAGCATCTCCAAACCTTTCCAAACTCTTCCCACAAACTAGCTCCCAAGGCTCATAAACTGCATGGTCAGGTACAGTCACAGCCATGACCCCACTTCCTGGTATCAAATTCTGTCTTCATTACTTTTTCTCATTGCTAAAACAAAATACTCAACATACGCACACTAAAGGAGGAAAGGTTCACTTACCTCACAGTTTGTAGAGGTTTTAGTCTGTAATTGGCTGGCTCCTAGGCAAGGTAGCATGGCAGAGAAGCATCAAAAAGGAGAAACAGCCCATGGCAGGCAGAAGGTAGCAAATCTACCACAGCTTTCTCTATCTGTTATATCTTATCCAGGCTACTTACTGCAGGTAGCACTCACCTTTATGCTTGGTGCCCATGGTCCTAGCATTGCACCATGAATCAATCCCATTGTCCCACATTCTGGATCCAGCCACCTCTAAAAAAAAAAGCCCCACCTATGACTCCCTGAGACTTTGGATGGACATCTAGACACGAGTCATAACACTTACCTACAGAGCAATTTAGTGTTTCTGGCACCTTTTTCAACGGTCAGAGCATTAGGCATACACATGTATTTCACTGTGACGTATTTCATACCTCAAAACAACACCCTAACAATCATACAATCAGATTATGGGAAAGACTGGTGCTCTATGTAAAAGTGAAGTTTCAACATAGTAATCAGTTGTCATTTATAAAATATTTTTAATATTTTGCCAAAACTATGGTATAATTTTTGAGCTACTTATATAAATTAAAAGAATAATAATCACCATTCTCATTAATAACTCCCATATCTTGATAGGCTCTATATTATTGTGTATTGTGTGTGTTTAACTTGCAAAACACTGATGAAGTAATGCCTGAAACAACTTGTATGTTTAAACTAGCTTTCAGGTGAAAGAAAAAAATAACAGAAGTAGAGACAGAAAGTTTGTTCAAAATGTAGTAGGAAAAAATTATTTCAATGGGAAGGTTAGGGCGACAATGTTTTTTCTTCTGTCTGCCAGCCATAATTTAAACTGATTTTACTTTCATTATGTATCTTATGAAATATTGGCGCATTTCAGTCACATTTGAGTACGTGCCTTAAACATACATTCGTGTGACAGAAATTCCACTATGGATCTCCTCAAAAGCTTGTTGCTGAGAAGACAAAACTTAAAGATTTTAAAACTCATTCTCTGACAGGACAAAATTTAACCCTTTTTCCTAGGTGCCTTGAGAGGAATGTTGGCCCCCGGCCTGATGATAGGAGCAGGGGACATGGGGGTGGTATCTACACAAGCACTAGCCCGTAGACTTTGCCGTCTGGTGGCTCAAAACAACTTGACAGAAAAGAACACTGAACAGATGTGACTGTGCACTATGAGAAGGGCTTGAAGAGCATAAACCTAGGTATAAGCAAAAAGAACAGCAAGGGAGAGGGAGATGCGAGGCAAATATACTGAGTTGTCAATCAAAACTTCCTTCACAAAGAGACTTTTAAAGGCAATGTTATTTCTGGAAGGATAAGAAACCACAGTTCCCCCAATGCGGAGCAGTAACAGGTATAAAAGTTCCCAAGGAGAGAAACAGCAGTGACACAGTGAAAAAGCGGTGAAGTGCGGTGCAGGGAAGCCTGGAACAAAGGTGCAGATTGAACAATGTTCAAACATGCAGGGTCTTCCAGACCACATAAAGATTTTGAAAACGCTACAATAAGAACGATAGCAAGTGCAATATACTCTTTGAGAAATCTCTCCAACTGCTATTGAAAAATAGACAAAGAGAGCAAAGAAGAAATAAGAAAAATGTTAGGGCTGCTGTTGTAGAAGTCTACACAAAGAGAGGAGGAGTAAAGAGGAGCAACAGAAAAAGGTGAACACAGATTGTGAGAGCGTTGGTCAGATTTATTTTGGGATTATAGGCAGGGGAGGGAAAATAGAGACATTTGAAAACTGATCAGTAAAGTTCAAGGAAATGAGAACAATGGTGTAATGTGCTCTGCCTTGATAGTAGTTTTGGTAACATAAACATATGCATCAGTCTAATCAAGAAGTACACTTTTAACAGGGCATGGCGCTGCACACCTGTAATCTCAGCACTTGGGAGGCTGAGGCAGGAGAATTGCTATGAGTTCGAGACCAGCCTGGGCTACATAGTGAGTTCCAGGTCGGTCTCAACTACATAGTGAGACCCTGTCTCAAAAAAAAAAAAGTACACTTTGAAGATTTGAGCACTTTTATGTGAAAATAAATACTGAATACTCATTGATAATAGGGGAAGTATATAAACCTGCACAACTTGAAATATTTAAAAAATGAATTAATTAAAGGAAAGATGTGATAGACATGATCAAATAAGTAAAATAAATATTAAAGATACAGATAAAACAGTTGGTGATAATGATACCATTCTGGAGGTGAATTAGAAATATGTATCAAAAGCATTAAAATGCAAGTTGTTTGGACCTAGATATTCTGCTTCTAGAAAGTATGCCCTGCTGTGCAGTAAATACAGATATTGGTCCATGCAAAATTTATTACATAACAAGGACAGGTCAAAGTAATTATGAAGATCAGTAAGTTAGGACATAGATTAAAGTATAGTATAGTATATGTATAAGATTAAATTCTATTATCAATGTAATTTGACAAGAGAATTTAAGTAACCATAAAAATTCATAACATTTCTAACTTTAAAAACTACATTTGCACTATATATCTAATACCTTGTAAGCATAGTTTATAACAGTATTTGAAATTTTATTTTGTCAAAATATTAACAACTTCAAATGGCTTCTTTTCAGTTATGTTTTCTGTATTTTCTAATATTTCTACAAGAATGAATATATGGCTACTTCTTTAAATTTAAAAAAAATGTAATTTTGACATAATTTTATCATGAGTTATTTACAATTAATTTAGACACCATCCTGTGCAGTATTTATATATAATAGCAATAGTAGTATGAAAATGCAAAGTTAGATTAGAGATTTTATAATGTCATCAAAATATTAAGTTGGGACTTTCTTAACATTTTGCTGTATCTACCTTCTAATTTTATGTGGTATGTAGAAGAAAATAGTCTTCCTGAGGATTCAGAAAATAGCCAAGGGGAACCGCTGCCAGAAAAAGAAGCCAAAATTGTTGTTGGCTGACATTTAAGATCGCAAAAGCTAAGACAGGAAAATCATAATTTGCGTAAGAAAAACCTTGGTGTGTCTGAAGAAAACTGTTCTTTGTTTTGCTAAGTTGGTGGAGGTTATGGTGTTTTTACTTTATTCTGTTTTGGTTTGGTTTCTTTGGTTAAGGCAATAGAATGCCTACGACCCACTGACCTTATATCATTAAGTTAACCTTTTACTAGAATGTGGTGATTCTTTACCTATGGTTCACATACTCCTCTGTGCCTCAGGCCTACTGAAATATTTAGAGATCTCTATTAGAAACTTCAAATACCTTTCCTGATAGTCCTTACTTTAGTGATGAAAATGAAATTTAAATGAGTTCTTATATAGTTAAGCCAAAAGAAACTCTAAAATGTTACATAATCTATCAGACTTGATAATTCTTGCATAAGTGCAACAAAAATCGATGCTTAGTTCTGTGCTTACTGTTTTAATAGATAAATTTAATAGTATCAAAATAAATAAATCTTCTAAAGAATATTTGATTTGCTTGGTAATGCATTTGATAACAAAAATAAATTCTTAAAGATTTATCTATTTTTGAAAAATAATATCTAAAACTAAACGTCAAATGATTAGGTGAAAAGTTGTTTCTTTTCATTATAAGTATTAATTGTATACAATCTGAACTAATGATTTA